AATAAAGCAGGAAACAGTTGCACCAATGCTCTCAAGAGCAGGAATAAGAGGCCCTTTTCGTCCTCTTCTGCGAAACAGGCTCTGCACCACCGGCACCATCTGAGTCGGAACTGTCATCCTCAGGATCCTCCTCAGCCTCCCCTCCACTCCCGGAACCAGGGTCAGAACCCTCCTCTCTGTCAGCAGATGTCTCTGACTGACGATCAGCAGCCTCCTCCTTCTCTTCGTCCTCACCGGGCTCCTCCTTTACGATATGTGCTTTGCGTCTGTGGGACGACTCCCCCTTCCAAATCAGAGGGGGGTGACCCCCTTTCACCTTGACTTGTTTGGTGGTCATTTTGGCCTTCCAAAGAGACCCTATCTTGCATGCTTTGAAGTCACTTTCTAGGGTCAATTTGGTGAGTTTTGGGACTACCATATTTTATTTGCATAGTTTTTTATGCCATGCCAAATGTCTATCTTGCATGTGCTTAATGACTCCTTGCATGGCCTTCTAAAGTAACTCATCATTTTTGCATGCCATGGTTGCATATCAGTGGTTATTTGGGCCTATTTTTACATGTTTTATTCACTGATTTTTGCTGGTTTGATGAGATTCCATGTGCATCCTATACTTGCCATGTAAACCATGTTTGCTAGTCAAAATTGCATGCTATTTTAGTCCATCTTGCTAGCATCTTTTGGCCATGCTTTGAACTGAAAATGTCCATGTTTTGGAACTGCCTTGGCTCTGTCTTCATGCTTCATGATCAAATAATGCATGCTTTGTATAGCTACAAGTCATTCCATGTGCCTAGTTTCAAGTTTCGGGGTTCATCTCATGCATCGGGTGCCATATTTTCATGATTCGGGACCATTTTGCATCATATTTCAGTGCTGGAATCTACATGCTTGTATGCCATATTCCATGCCTTGCCATGCCTTGTTAGAGTTACATGTTATGCCTAGGATCAGTCCTCGGTTTGCGTACATGCGTGCACGCATTTCGAGAGTCTCATTTTCACCTAATGGCTTCTGATGTGAGTGTGGCTGAGGTCCACTCATATTGGTGTAAGTCCATCGTGCATTGTGTATGCCATTTCATTTCATAGCATTGTGTATGCTAGGTTGTATGTTAGAGCATTGTGTATGCCTCGTTACATCATCGCACGTTGTAGGGTGGCTGCCACTCGTTCACATAGCATTGTGGGTTATGCTAGCTGCTGCCGTCGATGTTAGGGAATGTGAGCATTCATGCATGGTCATGCCATATCACATTGTGTTTGGGACTAGGGAGTTAGCCCGAGCAACGGGAAACGAGGAGACGTTTCGTGAAATTGAGGGAACGTTTCGTACTCCGAGTGGATGGACGTGTCCAATTCTCCTGTCGTCCGACAATTCCGGATTACCCCCAATCCGGATGGAGTTTTAGGCCTTGTTGTGGAGCTCCATATGGTGCCGATTCCATTCATATTTGAGTCGTGAACGACTTCCTCGCCTCATAGTCATCGAGATGTGTGATTGGTGGCAAACGAGGATCGACGGACTACACTCACCCCAGAGTAGTCTGCATACATATAGTGAAAATTTACTTTGACCATGCCAGCTTTGTTGCTCTCTATTGCAGAAATCAAGAAAATCAGCATGCCTTCGGAGCTTAGCAACCATAAATTGCCCGAAGAAAATTACAAACAGAGGCACCGGGGCCATCGGGCAAGGGATTCGCGCAATCAAGGCCAACCCCGAGCCATGACAATCATTTTATCAATTTTGAAACAGAGCTGAGGCGGTCCATGAATTTGCGGGTGGCCGCCAATGGTTACTACTTTTCCTAGATTATTTGTTATTAATTTAAGGATTTTATTATTTTATTCGGGAAACTGTATATTTTAGTTACGATTTGGACTGTATATTTATATTCGGTATCCTACGCAACTCTCATCCCTCTGCGCAGAGAGGGGATGGGCAAATGTTGTAGATATATAGGTGTAAAGCGTGTCCGGCTCGTGCGGTGATGAATATGTCTTCCCAACCCCACGTCTTTCTCCCTTTTATTTACCAGCTTATGATGTTAGTTTTAGGGCATGTTTCAATTTAGCATAGCATATGATAGCATGTTTGCATCTTCATACTGTTTTGCATGCAACCGGGCTCGCGCATCAATACTAACTGCATTTGTATCTCAATTCAAGTTGAATACATGTTAGTTGTAGCATTTCACATGTCCAATCTTTAGAATAGCCGAGCCTATCTTAGTTGCTTTTGCATGTGTTGCATTAGGCATTTTTGTATAGTGTAGGAATCATGCATGGATTTTAATTAGCTCTTCTGTTTTGGCTTGGAGTACTCGGTAAGGTGTTTATGCTTTAGCATCCCTGCAATGTGTGTGAGTATGCCATGATAGCATGCTTACCATGAGGCCTATATGCTTATTGTGATATAACTGCCTGAAATGCCTGTGGGGAAGGTTGGATTATTATGAATTGGAATAAATGCATTGACTAGTGAGTTTTTAGGCCCACTAGATAAGTGGCAAAATCAATGTTTTTCTTAAGTGCCACCCGAGGGTGGCAAATCCACGTCTTAGCCTACTTGCAGGGTAGTACATCAAAACCACTTTAAAAAATAAACATGAAATGTTTTGTTCCAATTCAGACGATCCAGTCTATACTTGTATGCTGTGCGCATCACATAGTAAATCTAGGCTAATAATCGGAATAAAAACGCATAAAGTTTTCAAAACTAGATATCATGGTTAGTAGAGGCCGATCTTTGATCGGGCTAGCAGGGGTGCTCACGAAGTGACCTTCCCCAATCGTACCCAAGTTCCCGAGCCGAGGTAACTTTGGTGATGACGGACACGTGGCCTTCGGCAACGAGTCAGGGTTTCCTAAATTTTCCCAAAATAAAATATTTAGGTGGTGACTCTGTATCTGGCAAAGCAGTCCATGTTTGGCACTTCTTTCAAAAATTTGGTTTCTCAAAACGATTTGCCGGATTTGGACTCTTTGGTTCAGATTTAGAACCGTGACAATTTGAGAGTTCGAACCTGTAGTGAGCCCAAAATGAACAGAATGGGACTCATCCTCCCGGGGCGTTTGGGGACGTCTACAAGTACGACTTTTGAAAAAGGATATAAATATTTTGGTACTGGCATTGTGTATGTATAAAATCTTATGGCTTTGTTAAGATTTATATATTGTATTGTAATGTTTCTACTGGGCTTTAGCTTACCCTATATAGGAAAAATCATCTTTAGGTGCTGGTGATATGCCTCTACCAAGGACTTAGCTTGGGAAGACTGTGGAGTTGAAGGCTCAGTGTTGTTATTTTGTATTTAATTTTGTATAAGCCTAAGGCTTTATCTATATTGAGCTTAAGACTCACTTTTGATGTACCCAAGCATTGACTTGGAAAGATGCACGCCTTTCGGGCATATGATTATCTGTTTAGCTTTCACTTATTTTTACTATTTTTGTAACACATGCTGTAAATTCAGGATGTACTGTTTATGAATATATGTCGCATCTGTCACCTTTTGTATATCAAACTCTAATTAATAAAAGCTTATCAATTCATTTATGTTACTATTTATTGGTTATTACGAGATGGATATATTGTGTTTTATTTCGGGGTGTTACAATAACTGCGCGTACACACACACACACACACACACACACATATGTATACATATATAAAATGCATCTGAGTAGAAACTGCGTCAAATTGGAAGAAAAAAAAACTCAGAGAATTGTTTTAAACATTGAGAAACGGAAAATGAAATGTACCTCGAGTGCTTAAAGCTCTGAACAAAGCCAAAAGATTAAGAAAAAAGTCTTAGATCTCAAAACCATAGAGAGATTAGTTGTATCGGATCTCACAACCATGGATGGTCGAATCAAAGACGAAACAAGCTAGATCTACGAAAGAGCCACTGCCAAATCTTATTTTCGGTCTTGGAGATCTTGATGTGCTTTGTGCTCATTGTTAATCTTAGAGAGAAGGCGACAGAGAACGGTGGTAACAGCGATGATGGTGGTGTTGGGGGTGAAAGGTGAGAGAGAGAGAGAGAGAGAGAGAGAGAGAGAATTTGGATTTTGAAGCCATCAAGAGTGGCCAATGATGACGACAGATGAGGAAAAACAACGGCAGATGAGCACCACAAAGGAGATCAGCGGAGGAGCATCAATGAAGGAGAGATAGTTAGGGTTTGGAGAGGAGAGAGATGTAGAGTGTTTGAAAATGAAACAGATAAAGGTTTTGGACGTATATATATATATATATATATATAGGTATAGGATATTTTGGTTATTTTGTTTAAACTTGTTCTTTTAAAGAAAACATTCTAACGCTTGAATTTTTGGCCAAACAAAATTGATAATTAGACTTATGGACTAAGTGACCAATCAAGTAACGATAGATGGATAAAAGTGTAATATTACAACTTAGGCCCTGTTTAAAGAGAGGCTACGACCTTGTTTGAGGATAGAAAATTTTAACTTAAAAGTTAAAAAGTCACTACAAATTATTACATTATTCTTTATATTTTTTTACATATTTTTTTCAAAAAAAATAAAAAAGTTAATTCCCAAACACTTATTTAAAAGTTGATTATATTAATTGAAAATAAAATGATAAAAATAAAAATTCAGTGAAAGTAAAGGATATTTAGGAGTGTAAAAATGACCCGCGACCCGGGGTGGGTTCGATCCGTTTAGACCTATTTAGGCTGGGCCTGAGACCCTAGACCTGGTCAGGGTCATTATTTTGAAGCCTGACTCGGACCGTGGTACAGTCCATCGGCCTGCTTAAGGCTCACTAAAGGCCCGGTTTGTCCGAGACCCAGTATCTTTTTTAATAAAAATTAATAAAATTTTAGTACAAAAAAAAAATATTTAAACCCGCCCAAGCCTGAACCCAAACCCACTAGGCCAAATACCCTAGAGTTGGGCCTAATTCTACGATATGTACCCGCCCCGAATTCTGACGGAAGTCCACGAGGTCGGACATGAAGTGAGCCGGTATTGGATACCTTGAGGTGTAATTAAATTTTGTGTTTTTTAATTATTGGCAATTGGTCCTTTACTTTTCTCATTATCTTCTCTGCACTCGTTTGGTTTCCGTCAAAGAGTTCTGATCGATCATCAGCAAGCCTAGAAGCGTACACGCATACATCAATACAATATACGTACACATAAAGTCGTTTACTGTTCTTGTTCCGTTTGGTTCCCTTGAAAATTCGCGGAAATGACGATGACAATCGAAGGTACGATTCTCTTTCTCCAATCATGAATTGAATTTACGTTTCCTGTAACTCTAGCCTCAAGTTTCTGTGCTGAAATTTGAAAAAAAATTATTTTTTGTTTCTCAAATTCATGTAGTACTTGTTGTAATTATAAGTTCAATTGTTCAATTTTTCGGTGCATAGTAGCTTGAATGTTGTTGTTGTTGTTGTTGTTGATGTGGATTTAGACTGAGGAATCTAGAAATAAGTTTGCGATGCAATGAGGATCATCAATTGATATTCCGATATCTATGGTTCTAGTGTTAGGGTTTCACAACATATATATATACACTAGGCAAAGCTAATTATCTGGAGAAAAATCTACTATTGTGGGGTTATTTTTCGAAATCAAAATTTGTGTGCTTTATATAATAGAATAGAATAGATGTGGATGCAGTTGGGTTTTGAAGTTGAGGAGGTTGGATTTGAGTTACTTAATGCTAATGTCGGAAGGTTTATGTACGTGGCATATTTGGTTAGTAGGATTATAGTATATGATCACAATCCCATGTTTGATTACAAATTTTATTAACCGGGTTACATGTACGGCGGACATTCAATCTGATGAAATTGATGAATTTTTAATATTAAAAAAGGCTGCAAATCATAATTTTAAGTATGAAATAAAAAAATAAAATGAATACATAACAAATAGTTATCATACTAATTAGATAAATAATCTCATACTAATTCATGGGATTATTAATCCTAGTAATCAAACAAGGCTTTAGTACTAACTTGAATCAAGATTGTCTGCTAGTAAGTATAAATATTTGTGTAATATGTATAGAAGCGGTTGGGTTTTTGAAGTTGAGGAGTTTGGATTTGAATTATTCCATACTAATTTCGGAAGGTTTATAAACTTTTGATACTAACTATAAGCAAAATTACCTTTTGTTTCAGGAAATTAGGGTAGAGTGAATTTGAATTTGGGGTGCAATGCCAGTTAGGAGTTTTAAAGCAACTCAATGAGACAAACAAAGGAGTCTCACTTTAGTCGCGTGAACTGGTCTTTCATTTAGAAGTAAGGTTTTTGCAGCTATATTGAGTTTGCACTCTAGTTGGAATATTATGAACAATTGGACATGAATTGAGTTTTTTTACATAGAATTTAATTATCCTATCCTCTTTTTTTCTTTTTGGTAAGGATGGAAAGTATGGGGAAGGGAAGAAAGGAGAAAGTGGATCTCTAATTCCCTAGGTAAGGGTTTGGGGATTTCTTCTTATTGTTTGGTGGAAAGGGAAGGAGAAGGGGAAGAAAGTGGACATAATGTTGTTTTATAATTATATTTGTATGATGGGATCATGTGAGCAATATTGGAGGGCTGCATAGAAATAACCTCCTTCGTCCATTCTCTTCCCTTCTCTCATATTTCCTACCAAACAAGTGAAACATCCTTCCTGCAACTAACCAAAGAAGCTGTTCTTGTCAATGAAATTGTTTTTTGAAATCATCGGTACCTTGGAAGCATCATAATATTACCATTAGACTCGTGGATCTTTGGAACTGCTTTGACTAATTTTTGGCAATATTGGCTTGTGATGTGTCACGTAGGGTAGCCTGGACAACTACTCTACTGCATTTTTTGTTGCCATTGTATGGAACACACGATTGTTATTATCATGATGTGGGGCACATAAATCCTTCCAGTTGCCGCATTTAGTGAACCATTGACACCATCTTGTTGGCATTATATATTCATTTGCAAGATACTGCTAGCATTCTATTTGGCAGTTTGCCTAAGTGTCTCCATTGTATCTATCAACTTGATGTTATTCTGCCACTATAAGTCTGCAACCATATTTTATATTGGTCAAACATCTTGCACCCACACGAAGATCACACCATGATGACTATATGAGCTAGTGGTGGAGGGTTTCTCTACTTCCATGGTACACCAGAAAGTTGTCAACCCTTTTGACTTTATTACTCCTCGACTACCAATTGGACATTTCCTTTACTAACTGTTGCCAACACCTTCTGGTTTTTTTGTGAAGGCCAAGCGATCTACTTCCTACTTTGATGCTAATGCAAGTTCTTAGCCTATTGTTTGAGTTTGAGAAGTCCATGGTCAAGCTTTAGATCTCCTTTAATTCCACGATGAAATGCAATTCTTATGTATAGGTTGGTGATCTACTAACCTTGAAAACACAAGTTCAACCATGTCAGAATCAAAACTTGATCTCGACTAGCAGTATAGTGGCTCCTTAGGTCTTGGGGTCAAAATCTTTGGTGAATCTCGCTTAGCTGTGAGTTCCCAAGGTTGGAATTCGTGGTGAACCCCACTTTCCTAGCAAATTCATTTTCTTTAATCCTCTCTCTCTCTCTCTCTCTCAAAGTCCATCTTGGTGAGGAGAGAAGTTGGGAATGTGAAGGCTAATCAGTGTATGTGCTATACCTAGTGAGTGCTACTATGCCAATTATGAGGTGGAGGATGACAACTAATTCATGCATGGCTATGGGTGTTTGCTTTGAGCAAATGTGTTTGATTGGGTTTCTGTCATTGATGGCCAAAGTTATTGATGATGGGCATACACTTACTTTTCTCTCAAAGACAACCGAGTGTTTTTTTGCTTTTGTGTTATAGCTGGTCTCCATTATAGACTATTTGTGTTGTGATGTTAGTTGTCACATGGGCTGGAAGTCAAAGGAGAGGCTTATATGCGGGTTCCCCTATCTTTTGGGTTGTACTTGTCTGTTTGGTAACAGAAATTATTAACTTGTTTATAGCTATTTTTGATAAAAATGAAAACCAATAAATATGTTTGGTAACACATGTTTCAAAAATTTGTTTTGAAAACACATGAGAGGGGGTGGCCAGTGGTGGTTATTTTTTCAATTTATTTTATTTTATTTTCAAAAATAGAAAACCAAATTTGTAATTAGCACTAATCTCTAATATTTATTCATGTTTTAACATATATATTAAAAGTAAGCAAATAAAGTATTTTCAATCTTTGACTCTTCTATGTGTCCTTGCTCTCCCTCTCCTGCCCTCGCCCTCTGCCCTGCTATCGCTTCTACTTCATCTAATTAACATTTAAATGCATCAACTCTAGTTTCTCAAATTGAACTTAGAATCTTTTTTTTACATAATAATATGGGTGAATCCTGAGGAGTTCTATGGGTTATTGGTTCAACAAAGAGAGAGGAAGAGAGAAGCGGTGTGTGTGTCTAGGTGGGTGGGTTGCAATCCACATTTGAATACCACTATGTACTTATGGGCATGCAAGTGTAGTGCACTTAATCTTTGGCTTCTACAACACTCTTTTTTGGGCTTTGTATAATAGGATAGAAAGGAGTGCAAAAAATAGTCATTGTGATTGGATGAATCAATTTGATACAAATGCATGATTCTTCAATAAATATGACCATTAATAATCATATGGATAGTGGATTGTTGTTGATGTCCATAACAAGACAAGCTTGCAAACTTAGGCCTCGTTTGGCCAGTTAACAGTTTAGTCAAAAAGCTAAAAAGTTACTAAAAAAGCCAAAAAGCCTATAACCTATACTAAAAAGTCAGATTTCATTCTCTCTACTTTTGCATATCTTTTCGTAAAAAGTCAAAAAGTCACCACAAACATACTAGTTTTTTTTACCTCATATTTTAGCCAAAAAGCTAAAAAGTTACTAAATAGCCTGTCTGTTCCCAAACGAGGCCTTAGATTTATGGGACATAGATTCTTTGAAAAGTTATCTGTTCCTTTCCGCTTGTTGATTTTCTCAGAGAAGTTAATAATTGATTATTAAACTGTCAAATTTGAGATTTAACATTGGAGAAAACTCTTTGTAGAATATTTTTACGTCACCTTCTCCTCTACCACCCTTATCTTCTCAATTTTTATTTTTTCTTTTCCTGGTCTTGATATGTTTTTTCCTGTGATTCCTTAAAAATTCAAAACAAATACCTAGTAGATATGCTATGATTTATTCATGAAGCTTCTTGGTGGATACAATTTTTTTGTTGTGCTTTGCCAGAGGCAGTTTCCTTTGGGTCAAATAAGACCTTCCCACAGATCTGACCAAATTTCAGAACTAAACCTGATAGATATTTTACATGGAGGAAAAACTGGCTTACAATTTGAAAATGAAAATTTACAACACTAGTTTGCTGAATTATTGAATCAATCGACTCTCTTAATGACAGTACACATGTGTCTACTATGTTTGCTACTAACTGTTTCTTGTTTTGGTGCTCTGGCATTCTGGTACTCTTGAATGGTGCTTCCCTTCTTGTGCCCTGCAGTGTAAGTTGGAATAAAAATCTCACTTTTCTTTTTCGTTGCTGCTTAATTGAAGAATTCTAATCTAACATTGAAATAATGCAGACTTGCCGGGCTTGCTTTTATGTTTTCAGCCAGCATCTTGCTACAGATCCTGGTAACTTTTGCAATAACATCTTTTCTATGATGGTTCTGCTTGTTATAAGTTACTGTAGTAGGATTTTGTTTCTTGCAATTAGTTTCATATGAAGCACATGTTCTTGTAACTAGGGTTGGGAAGCTTCAGCTGAAACAAAGGGTCAGTAAATCATTCGGTGTGTTGTTTCGGTTCATATGGAGACGGAAATGTTTTGGAAACATAAAGGAAATAATAAAAAGAAGTTGGAAATCCATGAAAAATTTGGAAAGATAAATTAAAACCTATCTATATGTTTAAAATCACAACAACCAATGTATTTATTCAACATTTATTTTTTTGATCATCAACAAAAGAAGAATATTATTAAAATAAAAAATAGAGTACAAAGTAAAAAAGGAGGACAAGATATCCCCCTATAAAAGAAAGGAAAAGAGAGAAACAAAATTAGAATGGTCAAACAACTGTCTAATCACTACTAATAAGAAACAAGGCAATTCCTTCAGAGGAGCTGAAACTGACACCCAAAATGAAGGGAAATAAGAAATCCTATCGCACTATTTTTTTTTTTTTGTGTGATAAATACTATCCCATAAGCTATCCTTTGATTTATTTTTGAAAAATTTTGCATTTCTCTCTAGGCATAACACCCACACCATACCAAAAAGTCATTTCTTCATTGCCCAATTTGAGACAGTATAGTGTTCATACTGGTCAATTTTGTGCATAGAAGCAATTCTTGGCCCTTGGGCACTGAAGTGCAATTTTGTCCAAGCAGATAGCATTCTAGCTTTATCTTTTTTGTTATTATTGTATTTCAGTACTTCTCTCCCTATTTTTAGAGATGAGGTGTGCGCTTGGAAGCACAAACACTCTAAAATGGTTGTTGTGTGTCCGACACCAAGATAGCACAAACATGTCCACATGCCAGAAACATGCCACATGATGTGTTAATTTTTTAAATTGTTATTTTTTTGGCAAGATATGCTGGGAACACTTCATGGACACATGTCTTGTGTCTAGACACGTCTCAAGACAGCTTTATGTCTTTTTGTTTTTCTAAAAATAATTTTAGAAAGTTGATTTGGGGTCAAAATAAAATATATGGAAACAAAGAAGAGGAAAAGTGAAAAAAGAAAAACATAAGTATGCCCACACATATATATTGCTGCCTCTCATATCTGCATGCTCCTAAATTTAGATTTATATACATAGTAAATAAAAATATGTGAAAAATTGTGGTTGCGTTTGGTAGAGTTTTGTAAATATGATTTGAGAGTATGCAAGGTTTTAAAAAGCGGCCGCAACCGTTACGTAACGCCGTTACGTAACGGTTTTGGAGGTTACCGCCACCCGTTACGGCCGCTTTTGCAGTGTGATTGAGATTCACAGGTGTGTCGGCCGTAGCGGCTGCTGTAGCGATCGTAACGGTGCTGTAACAGCCATAAAGGCCTGTTTCGTACCGTTACGTAACGGTTCCAAACTCTCTTCTTCTGAAAAAACACACAAAAAAAAGCTTGAAAATGGGGAAAGAGGGATAGAGAGAAGAGAGAAGATTAAAGAGAGAAAATGGAGGAGCAAGAGATTAGAGAGAGAGAAGAGGGAAGATGAAGAACATTTATTGATTTCGTTGCAAAAGACATTAATGCTATCTTTATTCAGCCTAACTTATCACTAAACCATTTTGTTTCTATGTGATCTATCTATATATTGTTTGAAAATAAATATAACAATAAATGTGGCCATTATCTATTTGGTTTGCGTTAAAATATATATATATATATATATTAAGGCTCTTATTTTATTCTCTTTACTTTTGTCATTATTTATCTTATAGTTAATAGTTAGTGATTGATTTTTTATTATAATTATTAAAGTCATTAATTATTAAAATAAAAATGGTAAAAACTCAGTTTATAGTTTGATTTAAAAATATGAAAATATATTGCATCATACTTAAAAATTTACAAATAATTGTCAATATTTATTTAAAACCCATAAATATTGATCATGAAAAAACAAAATATGCGTATTCGGTAAGTTTTTTTTAAATTGTGCGAAAAATAAAAAAATTCACGGTTCCGGTTACCGCAACCGTTACACTAACGGCCTTTACCACCACCCACCGCAACCCAACCGCGTCACCGCCACCTTACGGCGACCGCAACCGCTTTTCAGAACCTTGAGAGTATGAGTTGTATTTTGAGTTGTGAGTATTGAAATTCTATAATTGAGTGTAGAAAATTTGTTTGGTTATGGCTTTTTGAATAGAGGTTGAATTGAGTTTTGAATTGTATTGGAATGAGTTTTGAAAGTTTCTGATGTGACATGTGAAATAAAAAAAAATTGTGTTTGTGATGAGTTTCAAAATAGTTTTCAAAAACACTTGAAATCAAACACACAATTCATAACTCGATATCCGGTATTTTTATCAACAGTCATAACCAAACTACTTTTTAAAAACTCAAATAAAAAAAAATGATTTTTTTTTCAATAAATGTGTTTTTAAGTAATTTTTTTGAATAATTTTTTTTTTCAAATAAATTTTTTTTCAATAACTCTATGTCAATTATTTATGTAATTAATTTTTCTGTTCAATTCATTTTTTAGGCTTGCTAAATTAAAATTTAAAAATATTAATAAATATTTAAAATATTAAAATAATTTAGAAATTAAATATTAAAAATATTCTCAAATTAAAATATTAAGAATATATTAAAAAATTCGAAAATCAAAATATAAAAAATAAATTTTTTCAAAATAAATATTCAAAAAATTTAAATCATAAATGTTAAACTAATTTAAATAATCTAAAAATTTAATGAGTAAAAAATTAAAATAAATATTCAAAAAATTTAAATCGTAAAAATTTAAATAATTAAATATTCAAAAAATTATAAATAATTAAAATTTTAAATTTTAATTTTAAAAACAACTCTACACTCAAATTCTTAACCAAACATATAAACAAACTCAATTAAAGAAATTATTTTTAAAACTCGATAGACCAAACACATAAAACTCGAAACTCCATACTACTTTCACAACTCTACACTCAAATCGTAACCAAATACATAACAAAAAAATTAAAATATTTAAAAATATTTTAATAAAATAGAGTTTGAATTTATTTTATAAAATATTTTAAAATTTTAAAAATTAAAATCGTAATATTTAAAAATTAAAATATTTAAAAATATTCAAAAAATTAAAAAATTTAAAAAATCGTTACATATTTAAATATTTAAAATCTTAACAAAATTAAAATATTTAAAACATTTTAAAAATTAAAATATTTAAAATATTTTAAAAATTAAAATATTGATTTGAATTGAGTTTTGAAAAGAGTTTTGAATTATTTGTTTGTTTATGAGTTTTGAAAAGTAATAATTATGTTTTGAATTGAGTTTTGAGACATGGGTGTAGAATTATGATTTGAAAGCTCAAAACAAACACCGCACTCAAATCAATGGGTGGAACTATAATTTGAGAGGCTTACCAAATGGAGCCTGTATTTTTTCGTATCCCCACCATGTTGGTATCCCAATTTTGTGGAAATCATTGTGTCCTGTGTACGTACCCATATCCGTGTGCGTGTAAGGGCCTCTTTTTGTGCTTCTTCGGGTGGCAGTTGAGGCTGTTTGTTTCCATGCATTTGTATTTGACCTTCCTATATTTTTTAATCCTTCAAGTGGATAATATTTTGCTTGATAGGAGAAGTTACATTTTTTAACGGAACTTTTTTTTAGAGTAAATAATGCAAACCCCCTGATGTAATGGTTTTTTTTTTTTTTTGTGATGGCTGTGTCCATTTAAGAGGATGTCTTGTCCTCTTTTTGTTTCCCTCCAAGTTTATCAATAAAATTACTTTTGTTGCTGATAAATAAAATATATAAAAAAAAATTTGTTCTTTTTGTGGTTGTTCTATAGGCTTTGTACATTTCCTTGCTTAATGAATTTCTGCGCTTCTTTTGTTTTCATTTACATGTTCATCTTGTATGTAAAGAGCTGCACCTGTTTATATGAGTGCGTTTTTATGACTTCTTTTTTTATCTGGCTGCAGGCGTGTGCATTATACAACAACTGGTGGCCAATGTTATCAGGTGTGCAAGGATATCCCTGGTTATTTCAAGTAATTAGAACATGGCTTGCTTTTCGAAGGTTGATGTTGTGATTTTTACTTGTTCTTGCAGCTCTCATGTATGTTTTGGTGCCTATGCCCTGTTTGTTCTTTGGTGGTGGGTCCACTCAATTCTTAATTAGCCGGGATGGTGGGGGGTGAGTATTTCTTCATTCATGCCCTTTGACATTACATTGGATGTTTATTTGTGAAACCTGCCTAAGATTTAGCATTATGATAATTTGCATATAGTGAGTATTTGAAGGTATGCTTTGGCATTTATGCTTCTCTATCAGATGGTTTATGTTTGTATTTGATTCTAAAAGGATTGTTGTATTGTGCCTCATTTTGTATCTCCTTTATGCTTCTCTATCAGATGGTTTAACTGTGTTGTAAATGCGAAACTGAAACTATAATATAACTTAGTATATAAGGAACCATTGTGTTCATATTGTATGAATCATTTCTTTTTTCAGTCAAGTCAAGATTTTTACTAAAAGGTTCCAAACGGGTTACAAGCCTTGTATACAGGTTGGGCGTATATTTAGCAGATAGCAAATAAATACAGAACTAAAAAAACTCATGTATAAGTTTCATGAAACTCCAAAAATGAGTTATGATACTTATATTAATTTAAGTTTCCTGAAAATATTTCAAGTTTTTAGTAGTCTCTTTTTTGAGATTATAATAACAGTTTCTTTAATCATGTTTAAGATTTTCTATTGGGGTTCTGTCGAAAATGGAAAAGAATTTATCTTGAATGTGATGCACCATAATCTAGAACATGAAGGAAAGTCCAAAGGCTTATCCAACATTTTTACCACCCAATATTGACTCTGTGACATGCACTTACTAAAAAAAAAAAGACTGACATGAAAGTAAATGGAATAATTTGAGTTTTGTTGGATATGAAGTCGTAAAGTATTTTTGACTTGTTATTGCAAGCATATTGCTATGACTTTGATTGTGCTATCCATGTGAGGTTGTCGTGAAGTAGAAATTCACTGGTCGTCATAAAGTAGTATTCTAAATATGCTTATTCAACGACTTGTGTTACCTTTTTAACTGTCTGTTTGAATTGAGAGGTTTGCTAAGAAAAGAAAAGAAATGGAGAGAGAGATCTCTTCATCACTTGTTTGGATGATTAAGGAGATGAGAGAGTATAGTTTCCCCTTCTATGACAAGGGAAGACACTATTCTTCTCTTAATACCAATGTTTTGTTTCTCATCAAAAGTGGTGAGATTTGGTGGTGAGAAACAAAATTGCTCTTTATAAAATTTTTCTAATACTTAAATTACACATCTAAATACAAAGCAAATAAAATAAAAAGATACATGTTTCCTTTTTTATTTATTATTCATCCAAACAAAATGATGAGAAATGAGGTCAATGTATGCATTGTTTGGATGTAGTAGAGACGGTTATGGTCAGTTTGTTGCAATTCAGGTCAAGTTATGTTATCAAGTCTTTGTATATGTTATACTCTTTTAAATTTGATTGAGCGAGCTGTTTTGGGAATTTTGAAGAGCTTTGGAAGCTCTTTCGGGTTGCAATTTTGCAAGCTAACCACAGGTTTGGTGCCTAAGGAATTTGTAATTGATTTCAGGACTTCTTTTTAACTTCTAGTCTTTGTTAGCCAAAAAAGCATAACAAGACCTGGCTAGCCTCAAATCCCATAGCCAAAAACCCTATTTAGCAGGCCTGAATGATCCGTCCTGGAACAGTTGAGCCAATTGCATACACAAATAACGGAATCCAGTTCCAAATGTTGTTATTGGGTACTACTCGTGGACATTATTCAGAGTCCAGAACAGTTCATAAACCTTAACCTTGTCCAACTAAACTTCCAAAATATTATCCTTTATTTATGTGCTCCAGAAACCATAGAACTTAATAGCCCCACTACTTGTTAGCCACAAAAAACCAATGAAATCTCTCTCTCTCTCTCTTTCTCTCTCATATGATTTTGCAAATTGTTTGTGCACCTCGGCTAGTGCTCAAATAGATTTGCTGTATTCGCTGCAATTGCAGTTTCTTTTCCTTGTTTATTCTTATTTTTATTTGTATTTGCAGCTGGATGGATGCTGCCAAGTTCTTAACGGGGGCTTCATCGGTGGGCAGCATAGCCATTCCAATTATCCTCAGGCACGCAGATTTGATTGGAGCAGGAGCTATGTGGATCGAATTTTTCTCCTTTTTCATATTCGTCTGCACGGTCATGTGTTTTCATCGCGCTAGCCTTGAAGATGAGTGGTGATGAATATATATTCAGGACATCAAAGTGATATATACTCTAATCGTTGTGATTGGTTCTATCACCATCATCGAGTGTAAAACAGGTTTAATGGCATAACTAGTAGGAAAAGAGGAAATGAAAGGGACATAATTGTCCACTTCTACTATGTAAAAAAGCTTGAATTTCTTTTTTACACATCTTTGAAAGACTGACTTGCTGTATTTGAATCCCCAGCTTGAGTTTCCACTGTTCTAGTGTAGACTTTAATGCATGAAGAAGATTTTTTTGAACAAGAATGCATGAAGAAGATTGATTTCATGAAATGCCCAATGTTGATTTTCAAAGTTGTTTGCTTTTAAAGTTCTAAAAATTCAAGTGCATTCATATAACTTATGACTCGGTGAGTCGTAACTTCAATGACTTGTTGAGTCATAATTTATAAAATTACAATCTTACGTATTTGGATAGCAACTTCTAGAATAATGCATCATAACTAAAATGGGTGCAGGTCATAGATAAAAATTCATGGTAATTCTAAGAATTTTTTTGGTTCCCTAGACTTTTCCATCTTTCAATAAAGCATCTCTTCAGTCCATATAAATGGACTAGATTGTGCAATTTTCTTGATGTTGGTTCACTTAATGTCCATCTTATAATTTGAATTATTTATTTATTCTACCCGTTGAAACAATTGTCTGTGTCAAAAATAAAATTGATTGAACAATAGTAGTCACAACATTAAAAAAAAAAAAATCATCAATTTGTTTGAGCGATCTTGTGATGCAATCATGTAGCTATTGATATTTAATCAACTTAATTTTTTTACATGAACAATATTCTTAGCAAATCTTATAAGATGAACGATTTGAATCATTGAAGTAGACCATAATGGAGAGAAGTAAAGTAATAGATTGGGCAGAAGCTAAGTCTACAATTTAATACAAAGTAGTTATCTTTTTTCCCGAAAATCTTGTGATTTATTTTATTCATAGTTGTTTGATAATTATACTTTAAAGGGTTAGTTATATTTTTTATTTTCAAATTATGAATACTTTTTATATATTGGAGATCAGATTGAAACATTGGAACCAAATTGAAACATTTCTATACACTTGCGATCAAATTGATATAATTTACAAAAATTAAGGATCAAAATGACACAAGATTCATCATTTTGAAGACAAAAAAATATATTTAACCTTACTTTAAAATTCTCATTTTTGAGATTCTCTTGTATGACATGGCGACGGCAAATGATTAGAAACAAAAGGGCAAAGAGTTATTGAAACAGAAGATCTTTCACCGTTGTTTCCATATGTTTTTGCATACAACTTGTACTAGGCACCCAAGAGCAGTAACACTACAAATCTAGATTATGTGCCCAAAATTGTACCCAGAATTATTAATTAATGGTCTAAATTTATTTCATGCACACAACACTACTTCAATCTCTGGAATCACAATCTGACTAACTTTCGGACATAACTTCTTTTTTTTTTTGTTTTTTTTTTGTTTTTGAGTAAATAGACTTCCTGCATCTTGATTTCATTTGCCCCTATTCTCATGCTTACTTGTACTTACCTTCTCTGGAGCTTAAGTTACTTAATTGCAATTTATTCTATTTAATTCAGCTGTTCCCAATCCCTCAGAGCTTCATTGTCAACCCCACCAACATCCCAGCTATCACTTGCCAATGTGCCATATTTTGAGAAGGATTTGCATGGTCACCACACCATCACCACCACCACCACCATAGTGAGCTTGCTCAACAGTCGCATCGCTTGTCGCTGCCGCTGCTGCTGATGGCCATCTGTCGCCAAATGCTGTTTTGTACACTCGGCACAATCTGAATTCTTGTCTTACCTGCAAAACACAGGCAATATGATTGACAAAATATTAGCTAAGCACAACCATGGTTTTAAATGTTGGTCTCTATTTATGTAACAGCTAATGTGTAATAGGAATTTGGGCTTCTGATGCTATTATTCACTGATATATTTGGTCAATATTGTCTAAAATCAATACTGATATCAATATGTATTCCGATACTGTTGTTTAAAACTATGTGCACAATAGAATTGCATGAACCATGTGAATTGCAAGAACCATGTGGTTGGTATTCTCTATCACCACCAAGTTTATGAGCTTGTGCTTGGTTTTGAATTGCAAGAACCATGTGGTTGTTTTTTTTTTTTTTCCAATTGAGAACTCATAAATTCAAAACCAAGCGCAAGCTTATAAACTAGGTGGTGATAGAGAATGCCAAAACCTTGGAAGAAAACACTATAATTAGCCATAAGAGTCTCGCTGAGACTTCTAAAACATCATCCTTAAATTTACCTGAAAATGACGTGGCAGAGTTATGTCACAAATCAACAACTGGCATGTAACAATTCATGTTATTGGAGGTCAATTTAGGAGTTTCAAGCCTTTTCCTTAGCGATAATTTGACGTGTATAGGCAATTAAAGTTAAAGGAAAAGCTATTATGCAATGGTATGCAAGTCACACACATACACACCTGTGGGATTATAGTAACTGATGATGATTCAATGGCCCTATACTCATTCATCTTCCATTTGGTTTTCCTTCCGATTGGAGCTATTCCCATGTAGAACACCATGGTTCTCTTGACACCAATAACTTGGTTTTGAGAAGAGTAGACATAACCAGGACAGCCAGTAACTTTCCAATACCCTAGAGTTGTGAACCGGCTTTGTCTTCCCCCACAGGCTTCATTCTCTTCTCTAGGAATGAAGAAAAACCACTGTTCGGCGTCTTCACGACACAACTCTCTTGCAAATTCTGGTTCCAAAACAATAGAACAGTTTGGCAATAAAAAAAAAAAATCAAAACATAGGTAAGTTTCATAACTTTAGAAGCTAGCTCTTGTAAATTAACTTGCCCCCTTTTTTTTTTTTGACAGCAAATATTTTTTTTATTCATGGAAATTGAATGGACAAAATGAAAACATCATAGCAAAATCTTCCAATCCCAGTGACGTTGGCACAAAAAGCAAACCGAATCACACGCCAACACAAGACTAGAGGTTGGAGAGTGTAAGAGGGGTTGACCACTAAATTAATTGGGCCCAATTGAAGCCTAATCGGAAAGCCCAAAAATTGGTGAACTTAAAGAAATTATTGCCAAATGGGCTTGAACGGGCCTACGAGAAAGCCAACAAATTGGGCCGAGGAAGACCCATCAAGCAGATATCTCTAAAGAGCGTCCAACAAGCCAATTCGAGGAGGCTTAGATCATACGGGCATCCGAGGAGGTTAACCATTGCTTTCAAAAGAGATGAAACCCTCGGAGGAGATCCATTCTCCGAGGTATTGGTTTAGTCTTGAAAGGGTTCGGAACCACGAACCTAGAGACCTATTTAAGCTCGGACTCGAAAGGGTTCGGATCCATGAACCTAGAGATCCGAAGCGCTTGGATTCGAACGGATTCGAATGCAATCTAGAAGTCGCCCCATTAATGAGTCCTAGAACACTTGTGGGCTTGGAGCTTTTTGGGATCTATGCACCAAAACCATGGACGTGACGAAGTCCGAACAAATGACTCAATCCCGAGGACTGTGAGTGGAGATAAGTTCACTCTTCGGTTAAATTATACCTGGGTTGAGGTGGCACGATCTAGAGGGTTCCTGAGACTCTGCAATATTTGCAGCAGGGCGTTCTCTTGAACTACCCCTGACCCTTCTGCGGCAGGATGTCCTCTAGGACTACTTCTGACTCCTTGGGATGATTGGGATCATTGGTTAGGTGTGTCTAAGAAAAAGGGTTTGCCAAGAGGTTAATCTCTTTTTCAGGGTTTTCCTCATCCTCAAAGAAGTCACCTCCTCGGACAAGGTAGTTAAAGGGAATATGTTCCATATACCTTGCACATGGGCTCCATCCTACATCATGAGGTGCCTATAAGTAGCACCCATCCATACCTTTACAAGGGATGAATTTTGGAGAGACAATTTTTGGGAGATAACTAATTTCCCTTCTCCATTATCTACTTTGAGAGTGAAAGTGTGAGATCCATGGGAGAGCCTTGCCATTATTCTCTCTCTAACTACTTTGCTTTCTTCTTCACCCAATCTCTTATCTCCATCACCTCTTTGCTATTGTGTTCCTAGTTGCGATTGTTGAAGAATCTAAGCCTCTCATCATTTCTAGAGAATTTGAATTTTTTGGTGATCTTTGAATTTTCCAACGGTCTTTTAAATTTTCCAACGACATTCTTGAACCCTTACATACATTTTGGCGACTTCATTGGAGAGGCAGATAGGTTAATGGTCTCACCAAGATCCGAAATCTACACAACTCCAGTGAAGATGGCGGGAGAAGAAGAAGTTCATCAACAAGGTTCTTCCAATGGTGGTGACGAGAGAACTCAAGTTCAAGACCCACCCCTCATCCTTGAAGCCATTCAAGGACTCCAACACACTCAACGAGAGATTCTAACGACCTTTCAAATTCTTACCCACACCGTGGTGATGGGTTCAAACTTCGCACCACCAGCAACAAATGGAGGTCAAGTCGGTGCTATCAAGCATCAACAACTTCATGGTGATGTTGGGAATGGTCAAAACCATCAACACCCATCTCTAATTCTCCCTGAAGTTGCTAAAAATGGTGTGCAAAATCATGCACCTGGAGGATCGAGCCATGGTCAAAATCTCACCCACACCATGGTGATGGGTTCAGACTTCGCACCACCGGCAACAAATGGAGGTCAAGTTGGCGCTAACAAGCATCAACAACCTCATGGTGATATTGGGAATGGTCAAAACCATCAAGACCCACCTCTAATTCTCCCTGAAGTTGCTCAAAATGGTGTGCAAAATCACGTACGTGGAGGATCGAGCCATGGTCCATCGGTGGTTGGAGGATTTTTCAGCGTGATGAATGATGTTCCAGCGGCTGTGGAAGTTCAAGGAAGGCCCACAGAAATCTCTCTACAAAATGGTGCTCCATCCATGCCTAATTTTGTTCCACCGATTGTAAATTCTACTCATGTACTGAGTGGGTCTCATTTGGCTTCGACAACGGCTTTCCAAGCCCAACCTGGTATACCCATGGCGTGCAACGGAGTTTATAGAACTCAAGTCAGCGCTCCATCACCGAATGTCATATCCATAGATGCCAATGGTCAATATCACCAAGTTCCTACACCGATGGTGAATTCTCAACACCCAAATAGCCAAGTTGCTCCAGGCTTGGTCTTCGGGTCTACAAGCCAAGTTCTGGGAATACCACCATCAAGTTCTCTCCCTTAACAATTTCTCACTCTCG